GAGGGCCACACTGCACACGGATCCACGATCCACGTCCTTCCCTTTCCCAAGAGCCGTTCCCAGGAGTCGGAACAGGCTGCAACTGGATCTGGGCTCCTCATGCGGCGTGGCCAGGCCAACTGGCGAGGAAGGGAAAACTGGTGTGGGACATGGCTTTGCTCGTTTCTAAGAAAACAAGAACCGGCGCCCGTTCAGCTTGTGCAATTACCGAGGCAGCAATACATCTTCCCTGCGCTATTTAACCAGGCAAGGGCTGGTTTCCTACCGGCTCCGACCGGAGTTTGTGTGGGGCCACTCCAAAACCCAGCGATAAATTCCACCTGCGTGGGCAGGCCCCGCGTGGGAACTTGCTGCTGGCCGTGCTCAGTGGAGGTAAAAGCATGAAAACCAGGAGCCAGTGACTCTCAGGGTGGATATCGCCGTTAGCAGCACCCCGAGATGTTGTAAAAAGGAGGAGAAAGGGGTCTATGCCCACCCCCCAAAGGGTTAATGCAGCTTTAGAAACTTGCCCTTTAATCACAATGGTCACATTTGCAGAGCACCAGTGCTCTCCAGCTCTCCACCCCAGGCACGGGCTGGGGATAAGACAAAACAGGCCTTAAAAATGTTACTCAGCGTTTGGCCGCCAAAGTTTTGAGGATTTTCGAGTTGCTCCCAGCTGTGCTGGGCAGGACCTGCTGGGCTGAACTGGGTTGATCTCAGCCACTGAAAATGAGCCGCGCTGAAGCTTTGCAAAGCTTTAGCCGTTTCCAAAAGCGAACTGGAATTGTCCGTCCCCTTCCCCAAGGGAAGGAGACCGTGTTTTATTTTATGTGCTGCCAGAAGCAAACATGAATCAGCGCAAACGCTGTAAAGGGAGAGGGAAAGAAGGAAGGAAGGCATGGCACGGCATGGCACGGCACAAGCTGATGGGTGATGCCAGCTCTGGGAAGGTGCCTGGTGTCCCCACGGTGACATTAGAGGTGGTGGGGCTCTGGAGAGGGGCTGGAGCCTTGGCCAAGCCGAGGCAGCTCCATCCTGCACTTGGCACCTTCCCCCTGCCGCCTGTCGCCGCACGCCCCCAGCCCGTGACTCAGCCCTCGCCCACGGGACCAGAATCTCTGCAAACCTCCCTCCTGCGGCAGCTGCACCAGACGTCCGCGGCCACCCCGCGTCGGCTCCGCGTCAGCTTCCCACCCCTCTCTGACCCATTCGGGACCCCACCGCCCGCAGAGGGTCTCGCCTCTTGCCCGGGATCTCCAGGGGCTGTGGGACCACAGCCCAGCCAAGGGCTTTCCATTCCAGAAGGCTCCTGGGTGCCCAAACCCAACTGAACGCCAGGCCGGGTGCAGGAATGATCTCCAACCCTTCAGCCCCACCTAGAGTCTGGCCCAGCTCAAGCTGGTCCCAGCAGGAGCTGACACCCTGCCCGGCTCCAAGGGGTCCTGCTGGGACACAGTGGCTTCTCCCCAGTGCCCCCGGAGCCACACGAGGGACCCTGGAAAGCCAGAGAGAGGGGGATGCAGTGGGTGAAAAGGCGAGTCAGCAGCTCTACCCTGACCCGACACGGGGACAAGACGGGACAACACTGAGCCTGGCACAAGCGCACACTCCCAGCCTGAGGAATAAGCTCCGTCGGCGCCAGATTTGCGCGCGTTGCGTTTGTAGGAGGATTAAGGCGCTGATCGAGGGCCACCCCACAGCGGGACAGGGCCCTGGCGTGCCCTTACCCCCATGCCACAACTCTCCCAGATGTCTCCGTGAAAATAAAACGGCTTCTAGACATTCGCCTCTCACCGGGGCAGGACCTGCACCTCTGGGAAGTGCTGCAGGATCCTGGGACAGACAAAAAGCATTTATGTTTCCTAGGGCTCGCACACCGCCTCGTGCAGAAGAGTCGGGGGCTTTCCTCGTGCTGCGTTGGACCACGAGACCCCCATCTTTTCCTCTCCTCTTCTCCCTCAGATGATTACACAATCCACACTTCATGGCCCTGCCACGCAGCCTCAACATCCTTTTTTCACCCTTTTTCTTGTCTCGCAGCAGAGCACCCCAGTGCCAGCGCTCACCGCCCGGCCAGGAAACTGCAGATAAACTCAGGGCTCGGAGGAGAGCAGGAGGGAGGGCTGGTATCTCTGCCCAGCTTCCCTCCTCTGAGCTACCCCGTTACCATGGCAAAAACCTGCCGTTTTTAAACACTGCACAGACACAGTTGATCTCCTGGAGAAGCAACAAGAAGGGAGCAGTCACAGGGACCTTCAGATGATGGCAGGTTTCCC